GCTGCGCGCCCCGCGGAGCCCGGGACCCCGGCCGGCAGGGAGTGCTGGAGACGGCCGGCACCATGCGGCGGCCGTGGGGCGCGCTGCTGCTCGGCGCCCTGCTCTGCGCTCACGGTAAGCGGCGCCGCCCGCCCGGCCCGCAGGGAAAGTTTGCCCCAGGTCCCCGACTCCTCGCCCCGGAGCGGGACAGAGAGAGCTGGGGCCTGGGACTTTCGGTCGTGTGCTCAGCGGGAGCCCCGGGTTTGCGCCCGGGAGGGGACTCGGACAAGCTTCCCCAGCGCCCCCAGGGCGAGAGGATATCGAGGTGGAGGCGCAGCCCTGGACTCCAGTCCGGGCTAAGATCCGAGGCGCTTGCTGCTCTTTAACGAGCTGCAGGCTTCTTTCGGGCTGAAGACTGGGTCTCTGTGTCCTTGGTGCAATGCATGTGTGCAAAGAAAGGGCGGGGGAGAGTGGTCTCCAAGCCCGTGCACTCTAAGCAACTCTCCTTCCTGGGGCAGGGGGCTCGCGTGGATTGCACCGTGGGCCCCCGTGGAGTCCGAGTGCCTGAGCGCCGGCGATGCCTCCATGCGGGGATCACAGCCATCGTTCCAGCCCAGCCTCTCGCCCGGGGGCTCCGGGCACAGCTCGCTCGCAGCATCTCCCCTTAGCGGTGTTTTGGGTTCCCTCTCCTGGCCGCAGCCAATCAGCTTTCTGCCTCGGATCCTCCCCAGGGGAGGGGTGGGGGACCGGGCTGAAGAAGGGGCTGGGGAGGAAGTTTGGGAAGAAACTGCTGGAAGGCGCCCTCGAACCGGCGCTGGCCGGGGCAAGGGGCCGGGTGCCGGGCGCGGATGTCTCTGACTTCCCAAGAAGTCTCCCTGCCTCGGCCTCCGGGTGGCTGGGTGCAAGGCGGCTGGACTCGCGGTTTCATCTGCTGCTTATTAATAATGTGTTCGGTGCCCGTAGGCCAGAGCTGTGTATGATCAGGGTTCCGGCGGAATCCGTTTCTCCGCTTAGGACCGTAGGTGCACCCCGCGATGGAGCAGCTGCCTCTTATAAATTTGTGCCCAGAGATCAAAGAACTTTGATCTTTGAACCCCAACCCTATTCACCCAGCGCTATTCAACCCGGGGTTGGGGGCCCGGGTGTGTGTGTGTGTGTGTGTGTGTGTGTGTGTGTGTGTGTGTTGGGGGTTGTCCTGAATCCTCAGAGTCCCCTCACAGCCTGGATGTGGGGTAGATTTCCAAAGTGGAGGGGTCTGCAGACCCAATCTTCACACCGGTTCTTTATTTAACCAAGAACAGCTCGTGTGCAAACCCTGCCGATTTCCGAGCTTGCCTGGCAGGGCGTGGAGAGATCTGGGCACTTGTTGTAAAGATTGTTTTACCTCTCGAATCCAAAACAGAGTGCTCTTGTCTGTTACTTCAACTATGTATGGGTCTTCGGTGGCTTTTTCCGAGCTTCCTCTCTTCAGCTCTTCCTTCCCGGGCATGGTCCCCTGGCGACCCGCGTCCCTCCCTGCGCGCGGGCGCGCTCCGGGAAGGTTATTTGCAGCCTCCGCGGCGTGTTGGGACAGCGGCCCTACCGGGGTAGGAATGTAGCTGTTCTTCCCACCACATGGGCCCCTTAAAGGGACAGCTTTGCTTTTTGGGGGGTTTCCCCCATCGGGCTGCAAGGGAAAAGGATGGAACTTTCCTCTCGGCCCCCTGGAGGAAGTTTTGAAAAAGATCAAGGGAAATGGCAAGGCTTTGGGCAGGAGGGGTGGGGGGGAATAAAACGGATACCAACAAAGCCAGGGAGGAGATTGTCGCCTTCTGCCCAGGGGAAGGGGAGCTGGAAGGTTCCAGGCAGAGACCAGCCAAGACGATTTAACTGCTCCAGAGCTGTCAAAACTGCATACATTACCCCCGTCCAGGGGCCAGGGTGAGGAGTGGGTAGAGAATTGTGTGTTTAATGCTTCCCAGTAAAAGGATGAGAGGGTTCTTGGAGGCTCAAATTGAATAGAAACTTCTAGCCTGCAGACTTTCTGTACACATAGGGGAGGCAGAGGCAGGGAGATTTATACACTTGGCTTGGCTGGATACTGAGCCGTCCTTGGAGGTGTAGAGGGGCAGAGTCGCATGAGACCCAGCGGTGTGGAACCAATGTAGCCGAAATACCACTGGGAAGATCCCAGAAGCTGCATTCCAGGGGCCCAAGGAGGCGGCAGTTGTGGAGTCCAGTAGTGAATCAGACAGGCCTGGCTTCAGCTAGGCGTGAACTCAGTGCTGTACAGTGGAAGGTGCTTATTTGAGTTCTGCTACTCCTCGTAGCTTTTCCTAGAGCTTGTAGGCTACGGTTCAACCTAACACTCCACCTTTAGAGATTTGTGAAGGAAACTTGATGGCTGGGAATAGCCATGCCTATTTTTTTATGTGTGGGAACTGTCCTGGAAATGTCTTAAGTAAGTGAAAATTCTGGCCTGAAGCACTTAGGTAAATAAGGTTGGGGTTTTTTTGGCTAGCCTTGAACTCTAGGCGATACTCCTGCCTCAGCCTCCTGACTGCTGGCATTACATGTGTGCAGCACTGCACCTGGTGATGAAAGGTGGTTTCTGAGGATGAGTGCAAAAGAATTGAGCTGAGACTAGTCTCCTTCCCATCTGACTGTTGTCCTGATCACAGTCATCACAGTGCTTGAGTGACCTTGTCTCTGATCTCTTGGACTCGTGAAAGATGCTTGGCTTGTCACTGATTTTGGATTTCCTCTTCTATCCTGGGTTGAATATCGGATAACATCTTTGAGCCTGGCACATGGTATTAAGAATGACAGGTGCAAGGGAGCCAAGTCTGACCATGACTGACACCGAGCACACTGGGCACGTTCGCCTTCCGGGCCAGCACAGGCCACAGAAGGTCACAGAGGACGGGGTGTTTTATGGCTCTTGGCCTGCTCTGGGGCTCTCTAATCAGTAGCCCCTTACTTTCTACTGATGAACTGCTAGCTTTGATCCCTAAGAAGAAGCAAAAATGTAGGGATTGTTTATGTTGCTGTTCCTTAAAGAGAATAAGCCCTAGGGGTTATTGGATGGGAACAGAATAATTTCCGAGACCACTTTGAGAAGTGGTCTTGTCTTTCTTATGTTTGGGTATGTCTCATAATGACAGGACTTCTGTGCCCTTGGCTTGTTGTAGGCAAAGTCTCTGTATTCCTTGAGGCAGCCTGGCCACCACTTCCTCACAGTTGCCTAGATACAGGGCATCTGAATCCCCTACTGTGACTGTGTCGGTTTTCCATCTCATCCTCAGCAGCAGGAGCCTTGCTGCCCTTCTTGGCCTGGTGGGATTCAGGGTCCCTGGGAGGACTCGGTGCTGGCAGATTGGTGGGCAGAGCCCGCCCGTGGCCCTATAAATAGCTCTGCTGACTGCCTGTGCTGCCACTGGCCTTAGAGCCACCAGGCCCAGCTCTCTCCTGATACGCTCAGAAGCATTCCTCAAACTCAGCTCTGCACTCATTCATTTGTTCGTTCTTTCAGCAAACACAAATCTCAAGCATTAAGCCAACATATGCAGCTTAGTTATTGAGAAACATAGGCAGACCTGGCACTTCCTCATGACCCAGTGTGAAGCCCCAAATCTCCCTGAATTTTGGGGTTCTTATCTGCAAATAAAGGCAAGGTGATTGGAGGAGAAAGGCAGTTGTTTTTTACTTAAGAATGCTATAGAAATTGAGTGTGTTCAAAGTGTTCTGCACAGAGCCTGACGACCACTGTGTTACTATAGGGCTGGTTGCATGTCACCTGTTTGTTGGCAAGGTTGCATAAGTAGATCAGAGATGATTCTTGCCTTTGGGATACAGGAGCCAGGTAAATAATTACATCATGCTTACATAGAGGCTTAGTCCTTCATTGATTTCAGCTGGCTTTTTGTCTTTCTCTGGGAAGATCTTGTGCCTCCTTCCTCCCCCTCCAAAGCCTCATGAAACCTAAGCATGGTTCCCGCCTGGCCGCACTTCCGGAAAAGAAATCTATTAAGCTTGCATGTGAGTAGGGCAGCCTGTTCTACTTTAGAGGATCTGGGAGATGGAGCTTCCCCGAACATGCACAGTGCAACCACAACTTCTCACCCTTAGGTTGCTGTGACCCCAAGGTGAGAGGTGCTGGCTGAGGTCTCCTGTAGCTGGAACAGTTTAGAATTCCAAGCTGTCCCTCCCCTGGGCCTGGGGACGGAGATGGGCCCCAGAGCTCATAAGGTAGCAATTGCCTCGATTTGGGGGCTGGGCAGCTAGAGCCTCTTTCCTTCATGAATCCTGTCATGAGGATAAATGATGCAGGTCTCCAGCCCCAGACTCACCCCAGCCCCTAGTGCCTCCACCCCAAAGTTTGACCCCTGTTGTCTCTTTGTTTCTTCCTTTTAAGTTGGTGCCAGTGATGTGATGTTTCTGGGAGCTACAGAAAGTTGACCGTAACCCAGAGCAGCCGTTTTCAAAGAGCTGATTCTCTGGCTTCCCGGCGGTCCTTTGAGTCTTTTCTGTTCTGCATTTTTGATTTAGCAAGAAGCAAACATCCTAGGTGCCCTTGGGCACCTTTTATGCCCATCCAAGCAGTCTTCGTTCTTCCAGTGCACGGCAGCGTTCCCTCTGTGCTCACAGGCGAGTGAGGCTGATGCCCTGGCCCTGCCCCCACGCTCTGCCCCACTCCTTGTAGGGGCACGGAGCCCCCTGGTCACTCAGGTGAGAGTGAGGAGGGGAGGAGCCCTGTTTGGGACTTGCAGCAAGCCCTGACTTGGCTCTGAGTAGCTCCTGCTCACCTCTGAGGGGAGCTGAGGATCGGAGCTTCCAGCAAGCCGGAAACAAAAGACTGGGAGCAAACCTCCCATCTGGCTGAGAGGCAGCGACACAAAGGTGCTGCTGCATAATTTATTACCAGAAGTTTTCTGGAACCAGGAAGTTCCTGGCTGCAGAGGCAGTGCCTGTTTGGGGGAGAGGGCCCCCCCTGGCTGGGTGCAGGGCCAAGCAGGTCCGGAGTATAGAGCACTGGGAGAGACACCTGATTAGTGCGTGGAATAAAGGTGCAAGTGGAGGTCTCGCCAAACTCAGCAGCTGCACTTCCTGTCCGGCCTGTGGCACAGGGCGAGGGGAAGTGAGCCAGGTCTTCCTCC